TGAGACTGCTGCTGCAGCGCAGGTCCGTTCGGGGAAGGGCCGCCGCCCCAAGGCTGGGCGCGGCGGAGGAGGCGGCGGGGGTGCGGGCGGGGGTAGTGGTGGGGTCGGGTCGCCTGGTGCTGGAGCGGACGAGGGGACCCTGCCCAGTCCAGCTAAGTCGCCCCCCCTGCAGTTGCAGCAGTCGCAGCAGTCGCCGCAGTCGCAGCCTTCGCAACAGCCGCAGCAGCCGTCGCAGACGCGGCAGACGAGTGTCCTCCCGCCAGGGTGGCCCGGCGCTGGCGGTGGCCGGGCGCGTGGTGGTGTGCCGCGTGGTGGCTCTGGCGGCGGGCGTTGTCAGTACCAGATCCAGACCGGTCCTCGCCGCGGCTTCGTTTGCGGTAAGATCGGTCACTCCACTCCCCGCTGTTTTCGTCGTCTGGACGACCTCTTTCGTCAGCGCTTCGGCCCGTCGCCAGACCTCCCGGACTGGCACAGTTTGCTTAGTCGTCAGATTCAGATCTTTGATATGGACATGGATGCCATTGTTTCCGCTCTGCATGTGATGTATGCTGATTACTCTAGTGTGCTTCCCGCCTATTACTCACTGTTGCCTAGTGTAGGTGTGCCTAGCTTAGCCTCCCCTGCTGCGTCAGGCGTAGGATCCCCTGCTTTGTGTAGTCTTGGTGCTTCCGCCGTCGTTCCGTCGCCAGACCCCTCGGCTTCGCTTTCCTTCACTTTGGACTCTGGCGCCTCTCGGTGTTTCTTCCGCGACTCCACCACCCTGACGCCGCTTCCTGTTCCTGCTGCCGTTTCTCTTGCTGACCCCTCCGGCGGTCCGGTAGTCGCCCGCAGTTCCACCACCCTTCCCTGTCCGGCGGTTCCTTCGGGTTCTCTTACAGGTCTGCATATTCCCTCGTTCTCCAGGAACCTAGTTGGTGTCGGCTGCCTCCAGGACCTTGGCGTCACCACTACGTTCCCTGGTCACGAGCGGTATGCTGTCTGTACCGAGGCCGCCACTGGTGCCCCCCTGTCCACGTTCCCCCGGGACCCGGTGTCCGGCCTGTTCACTCTGGACACCGTGACCCCCCCGGCTAGAGCACCCCCTCAGGTGGCTGCGACTACCCAGGTTGCTGCTGCCTGCTCCTGTCGCTCCCTCACTCACCCGACCCTCCTGTGGCACCACCGCCTAGGTCACCCTGCGCTCCCGCATCTGCGTCACATGTCCCAGCACGGTCTCGTCCTTGGTCTCCCAGGTTCACTCCCCGCGTTTCCCTCCTCTCCAGCCCCACCTTGCACGCCTTGTGTCGAGGGTCGGCTTCGCCGTGCCCCTCACTCCTCCTTGTTTCCCCCTACCGCCGCGCCGCTGCAGACCCTGCACCTGGACGTCTGGGGCCCCACCCCCGTCCCTGGGCCGCGTCGAGAGCGCTACTTCCTTATGCTTGTCGACGACTTCACTCGTTACACCACAGTCTTTCCCCTGGAGCACAAGGCCGACGTGCCTGGCGCTCTCATCCCCTGGCTTGTCTCTGCGCGTGTCCACCGCGGTCTCCCTGTCTTGCGTCTTCACTCAGACCGTGGTGGCGAGTTTGCCTCAGGTGTCCTTGGTCGCTTTTGTCGTGCGGAGGGCATCACCCAGACGTTCACCCTACCGGACTCCCCACAGCAGAATGGGGTCGCTGAGCGACGCATCGGTTTGGTCATGGAGGTGGCTCGCACCTCCATGATCCATGCCGGTGCACCCCATTTTCTGTGGCCGTTCGCTGTGCGCTACGTTTCTCACCAGCTTAACCTGTGGCCGCACCCTCAGCAGCCGCAGGTTTCGCCGACCCGTCTTTGGACTAGGTCTCCTGGTGACGCGTCTGCGTTCCACGTCTGGGGCTGCCTTGCTCACGTCCGTGCCTCCGGCACGGACAAGCTCACTGCCCGCACCCTTCCCTGCGTCTTCCTCGGTTTTCCCCTTGACGCGTCCGACTGGCACTTTTACCACCCGCCGTCTCACCGCTTCTTTCACTCTCGTGACGTCACCTTTGACGAGTCCGTCTCCTACTACCGCCGCTTCCCCCACCGTGGTCCCCCGGTTACCCCCCCCCTGTTCCTGGTCACCCCTTCCCCGGTAGTCCCTGCCCCTCCTCCTCCTCCTCCCCGTCCCGCCCCCTCTGGCGTGTCCCACGTCACCCCCCTTCCGTCCGTGGACCCGGTTGAGGAGTCTTCTGACTCTGGTGGCCCTCCTGTGCAGTCCTCGCCGGCCGCCCCTCCACAGGTGTCCCCTCCCCAGTCCCCTCCTCCACCGCCACTGCCGCTGCTGCAGCCGTCGTCGTCGCCGCCGCCGCCGCCGCCGCCGCCGCCGCCGTCGCAGCCCCCGTTCGCTGACTCTGGGGGTGCTCGTCCCGGTCGCCCTGGGGGTGGTCCCTCTGGGGGTGCGGGTGTGGAGAGTGCCGGTGGTAGCTGAGGAGCAGCTTGCGGTCCAGGTGTCGCCGTTGTGCCGCCGCAGCAGCAGTCCCCGCCGGTGTCAGCCCTTCGCCTGCTCGGCCTTCCGTCCCCCGACCCTGCGTCGGTTCCTCCCCGACCGTCTCCTCCTCTTCCTGTCTACGGCCCTGTTTTTCCTCCGTCGGACTCGTCCCCGGCCCGTCTCCCCCCTCGTTCCCCTCCTGTGTCCCCTCCCCTGTCTCCTGATCCGACTCCTCCGTCCCACGTCTGGTCTCACCGTCCCTCCCGTGCTCGTCCTGCCTCGCCTGTCCTGCGCTCCCACCCTATGTTGCTTCTTTCCCACGCGTCTCGTCCTCCCCTTCTCCCGTCGCCTCCTCCGTCCTCCCTTGTTGTTGCGCCCCCCCCGCTGTCCGACTACCTTCGTGCCGCTCGTCCTCTCGTTCCTCGGGTCCTTGCCTCTCTCGTTACCGACCCGTCTGTTCCGGTCTCGTGCCTTGACGCTCTTGTCGCTGCTGTCGCTGACTTCGCCTCTACCCGCCGCCTTGACTACGCCACCGCTCTGGTCTCTGACCCTGCCTGTCCTCCGTCTGTCGGGGGTGCTCCTGCCCTTGGCAGTGACGTCCTGGAGGACCGCCAGTTCGAGCTTGCTTTCCTGTCTGAGGCTGCTCCCCATCTCTGTTCCATGCTGCTAGTCCCTGAGGGTGACCCAGACGCTTTCGACATCCCGACCCCTCGCACTTACGCTGAGGCGACTTCGGGACCCTGGGCCTCGCAGTGGATAGCTTCCATGGAGCAGGAGATGGCATCTTGGAGATCCACCGGCACCTTCGTCGACGCAGTTCCCCCACCTGGGGTGAACGTAGTCGATGGCCGCTGGCTCTTCAAGGTGAAGCGCCCTCCTGGAGAGCCGCCTGTCTTCAAGGCGCGCTATGTGGCTAGAGGCTTCTGTCAGCGCGAGGGGGTGGACTTCTTCCAGACTTTCGCTCCGACCCCGAAGATGACTACTCTTCGGGTTCTGTTACACCTAGCTGCTCAGCGTGACTACGAGCTTCACTCCCTCGACTTCTCCACTGCCTTCCTTCAGGGCAGCCTACACGAGCAGGTCTACCTGCGTCGCCCTCCGGGCTTTACTGGCACCTTCCCTCCTGGGACCCAGTGGCTCCTGCGGCGCCCCGTCTACGGCCTGCGCCAGGCTCCTCGTGAGTGGCACGACACTCTCCGTGCTACCCTTGCTGACCTGCAGTTCTCTCCGTCTTCCGCAGACCCTTCACTCTTCGTTCGTGCTGGCCAGACTCCGTTCTACATCCTTGTTTACCTCAACGACCTGGTCTTTGCCACAGCAGACAGGGACGCACTGGCCTCCGTGAAGGCAGAGCTGCTGAAGAGACACACCTGCACTGACCTTGGAGAACTGCGCCGTTACCTTGGCTTGCAGATCTCCAGGGACAGAGCTGCGCGCACCATCACCCTGACTCAGTCACACTTGGTGCGCCAGGTCCTTCAGAGGTTCGGCCTTCAGTTCTCCTCTGCACAGCCCACCCCTCTTCCTGTAGACCACAGACTCTCCGCTCCAGTACCTGAGGAGTTGGTAGAGCCCAGCGGCCCCTACGCAGAGCTGGTGGGTTGCCTCATGTACCTGATGACTTGCACTCGCCCAGATCTCGCATACCCTCTCAGCATCCTGGCGCGCTTTGTGGCCACAGGCAGACACCGACCGCAGTAGTGGTCTGCCGCTAAGAGGGTTCTGCGTTATCTTGCTAGTACATCAGGCATGGGGTTAGTGCTTGGAGGACGCAGGCCAGTGGTCCTTACTGGACACACAGACGCTTCGTGGGCAGACGACGCTGAGACACTCAGGTCTACCCAGGGCTACTGCTTCAGCCTTGGCTCAGGTGCCATCTCGTGGAGAGCTACCCGCTCCTCGTCTGTTGCGCAGTCCAGCTGTGAGGCTGAGATCTACGCTGGTGCCATGGCGGCACAGGAGCTCCGCTGGCTGACCTTCTTGCTCACTGACTTAGGTGAGCGGCCCAGCTCTGCCCCGGTCCTGTTCGCTGACAACAGGGCCATGATCCTCCTGTGTCAGGAGCCTCGACTCGAGGGCAGAGCGAAGCACATTCAGCTGCGGTACTTCCTCCTGCGTGAGCTACAGCAGCGACGTCAGGCTCGTGTAGTACACTTGGCCTCAGGTGCCAACACAGCTGATATCTTTACGAAGGCGCTTGCGCCTAAAGATCATCAGCGGCACTGTGTACAGCTTGGTCTAGTTCCTGTCGCCTCTCACTTGCTAGGACCTTGACTTGTACTGTCCTTTATATGTATACTCAGACTGGACTTGTGTCCTCTTCTAGTGGCTGGACTAGTAGTGCCGCCCTGCCCTTGTTCTTGCCTTGTTTGTACTCCTTCTGACTGGTCTCTCAGACCCTTGTCTCAGAGGTTGGACTAGTAGTGCCGCCCTGAGCTGCTTGTTTAGGGTATTCCCCTATGCAGTCTAGGGGGTGTGTCAAACATGTGTATTTGTCATGTTTGTATAGACTGTATAGGGTCACCTCTTAGAGGGTACAACAGTTAGGTATATTTGTGTGTACTCTCACTTTACCATCATTCAAATCTTATTCTGATAGTTCCATCGTTGTGCTGAGCTTATGATTCCTCCAACACTAGTTTACCATATATGGCACATGACTGCGTGCATTTCCTACTTCAGCAATCTGCCAGTCTAAGAAATAGTGTAGCACACTCTGCAGTGCCACTGCACGGCAGCCACTGAAACTGTTGGTTTGCCCGACAACCTCTGCTTTCCTCCCATGGTGGTGTGACATGGCATCACTCCTCGAGGTAGAATCCAGTGATCCTCTGCACTGATGGCCACTCATTGGCGATCTCAGGGGGGGACTCACCCACCTGTGGGGCAGGCGGTGAGCAGAAGGGAACACACCACGAATATGAGAGGGATGAACAGCAAAAGAAGAGGGGGGCAGGGGGGGGGGGGAGGAGAGAGGGAGCTTCTTATGCTGAAGTGGTTGTGCATTTGAGCTGGGGTTACTGGGTCAGTGGTAGCTTGGCAACAGCAGGGCGTACATAGTACAGCCATGGTTAGAAGATGCATGTTGACATCACAAGTCACCACCTACCATCGAGGCGCCCAGAGCATCTTTGGGACCTCTTCCCTTGGCAGCAAGTGGCGAGGCAAAGCGATCCTTGGCAGCAGTCCGGGCAGGGGAAGCAGAGGCAGCAGCAGCAGGAGAGTCAGCGGCAGTGGCAGACACAGAGACAGCTGCAGGTGTGGTGATCAATTTTGAAGCGAGGGTAGCAGCAGGGGTACCAGCAGAGGCAGTAGCAGAGGCAGCAGCAGAGGCAGCAGGCGCGAGTGCCCAAGGGGATGAGACTGCTGTGACTGGCTGGGAGGTTACAGTTGCTGCTGTGGGTGTGCCTGCATGCTCTGATGGCAGGTGGCGGGTGGGTGTCACATGGTGGGTGGATGGCAGTGCGACGCCCTGTGAGGTTTGTTGAGGATACAATCGGGGGACAGGCTCAGCAGGCAAGGATGGCAGTGCAGACACAAGGGGCGGAGGGAGAGGCACATGCGCAATACCGTCTCCTCCACCCGCTGCTGCTCCCGCTTCTGCTTCTCCCGCGTCTGCTTCTGTTTCTGTTTCTGCCACTTCTGCTTCTGCTGTTGCTGCTTCTGCTTCTGCTGTTGCTTCTTCCGCTTCTGTTGTTGCTGCGTCTGCTGCTGCTGATTCTCCTTCTGCTGCGATAGTTTCTGCTTCTGTGTTTGCTTCTGCTGTTTTTGCTGCGTCAGCTCCTACTACGTCCCCTGCTGAGCTCTCGGCTCCGACAGCCCCCAATCCCCTGTCGTCCCCTGCCGCCGCATCAAGGACCTTACTCATGTGCTCTCTCTGCTGCCCCTGCCCTTCACTGGCTGCTACACCATCGCACTCTCCGGAACCACCTTCAGACATACCCTTGCTGCCACAGACGCTTTCCCTTCCACCACCGTCCTTCCCAGTACAGCCCTGTCCCTCCTTGTTACCTCCGCCATCATCAGCAACAGCATCAGCTTCAGCATCACCCCCTGCAACCTCCATGTTACCACCTTCGCTTCTAGCCCCAACCCCCTCGGCCGTACGAATCTGCTCTGGATCCTGCTGCTGCTCCTCTCCTACCGTCTCCTGCCCCTTCTCCATCACCCCCTTCACACCCTTTATACTCTCCTCTTCCTCCTTCCCACCCTTAGACCCTGCACTCTTCTGTCGCACCTTCTCCCCTGTCACCTCACTGCTTTGAAGAGGCACATTGCTTGTCCCACGCCCAGCTCCCCCTTTGGAACTCTCAGCATCCGTACCAGCAATAACATGAGCAACAACAGCAGCATCACCATGAGCGCGAGGAAGAGGATGAGCTTCTCTCAGACTCAGAGTCCGCCTCCGTTGGCTCCTCCTGCCTGTCACCACTCTCCCTTCTCCCCGCTCCCCCCCCCTCAACCCTCCTCTTCCCCTTCCGCCACCACTCCCCTCCTCAGGCTTACTACCTCCCTGAACCACATTATTTTTAGCAGCAGCACCAGCACGGGCAGAAGCCTGAGTGCTGGCACGAGTGGCAGGAGCAGTGGCAGCAGCCGTAGATGCTGCAGCGGCGGCAGCACGAGTGGCAGCACGAGTGGCATGAGGAAGGGGAGCAGTGAGAGTAGAGGCATGAGGGGGGGAAAGAGGAAGACCAGCGGCAGCGTCCGGAGCAGGAGCAGGAGCAGGAGCAGGAGCAGGAGCAGGAACCCGCACAACCCAGGCAGACGAGACCTGGGCAGGTGAGACCTGGGCAGACGAGACCTGGGCAGATGATACCTGGGACGATGAGACCTGGGCAGATGAGGCCAGAGCAGATGGAAGCGCGTGAGCAAGAGAAGGACCATGAGGCAGAGAGGACTGAGTGCTGGACGCAGGGATGAAGGCCTGTGAGGGAGTCAGGTACTGGGAGCCACTTCCTCGGAACGTGCCGCCCCTTGCTTCTGCTGCAGCACCACCGGGTTTACCCACTGCTGCCACCGCCGCCGCTGCTGCCACCACCACAGTTGCCGCTGCTGCCTCAACACTCCTCTCCCCTCCCACACCCGCCTGCCTCTCCCCACTGGCCCCCTTCCAACCCGCAGGTAGGCTAAACCCCGAGAGGGGGTTGTTGAAATAGGCATACGGGAGGGTGAGGGAATGACGGTTAGAGGGTGCATTGGCATTTGCCGGTGCTGGGAGCAGCAGATGCCAGGGCAAGTGAGTGGGTAGGGTGGGTGCAGCTAGATTTGGCATGGGCAGGCCAGGCGGCAACGGCCGAGTGGAGGAGTGAGTGGCTGGTGGCACCATGCCGGGTGCTTGCATGGATAACCCGCCGCCTGCTGCTCCTTGCATCGCCGCTCCTTGCATCGACGCTCCTTGCATCGCCGCTCCTTGCATCACCGCTCCTTGCATTCCTGCCGCTTGTGAATGTGAGGGTGCGTGGCCCATGGCTGCTGCTACCACATTCACGCCCTGTATGCCTGCATTCCCTGCTGCAGGTCTTGTCCCTTGACCCACCACTGGCGCACTTGCTGCTGCTGCTGGTGCAGAGGGTAAGGGCATGGCTTCAATCCCAGGAGCAGCAGCAGGCGGAGGCAAGAGGCGGAGGTGTTGGAAGAAGAGAGAGCGCACGTCTGGCGGGAGGTGGTGGAAGTTGGGAAGGGGGAGATGCGGTGGGGGGATGCGGGGGGCGTGGTGGAAAGGCATCTGGTGTGAGGGGTTGGGGGGGATAGGGTGTGCGGGGTGGGGAGGCATGGGGTGTGAGGGGTTGGGGGGCATGGGGTGTGAGGGGTTGGGGGCATAGGGTGTGAGGGGTTGGGGGCATAGGGTGTGCGGGGTGGGGAGGCATGGGGTGTGAGGGGTTGGGGGGCATGGGGTGTGAGGGGTTGGGGGCATAGGGTGTGCGGGGTGGGGAGGCATGGGTTGTGAGGGGTTGGGGGACATGGGGTGTGCGGGGTTGGGGGGCATAGGGTGTGAGGGTTGGGGGGCATAGGGTGTGCGGGGTGGGGAGGCATGGGGTGTGAGGGGTTGGGGGACATGGGGTGTGAGGGGTTGGGGGGCATAGAGTGTGAGGGGAGGGCAGGCTGCAGTGCAGATGGTCCCGCATTGAATGCCTGGACTCTGGCGTGCTGCTTCTCCTCTGCCTGCTGCCGCTGCTGCTGCTGCTGCTGCCCCTCTGACTGCGTTTCCCCCTTGTTATTTCCATAGCATGCTGCACTCGTCGCACCTTCCCCACACAATTCGCGTTCACCAACCCTCACATCCACTGCCCGATCCACTTCTCCAGTTGTCCCCTTAGCCAAACCCTGTTCCTTCCCTGCTACACCGTGTGCCCCCCCCCCTGCTCCTCCTGCCGCCACCCCGCTTCCCCCTCCTCCACTCTCACCCTCCACCACACACGCCATGGCAGTAACCACCTGCCTCACATATGGCCTCCCCATTGCTGCAGACAGACCTGTCAGGAAAGTGGCGGGGAGTACAGCCCCACCTCCACTGCACTCCCCGGCATGCCCTGAGCGTCCACATTTACAGGCCATCCCCTTCCTTTCATGGCGTGTTCCCTTTACTGCATGTGTCGTGCACTCATCTGTATGGCTCGAGCCTTCAGTAAGCAGCGTGCAGCAGGGTAGGAGGGTGGTCAGTGCAGCTGGGCACGAAGCAGAGGCAGGCGCAAGGGCAGCGGCAGTGGCGGTGGCAGTGGCATTGGCAGGGGCAGTGGCTGGGGCAGGGGCAGGGGCTGGGGCTGCGGCTGGGGCAGTGGCAGGGGCAGGGGCTGGGGCTGGGGCAGTGGCAGTGGCGGTGGCAGCAGCGCAAGCGATACCAGCAGCAGCAAGGGCCGGAATAGAGCTAACCACAGAAGGATCAATGGCAGCAGCAATGGCAGCAGTGGTAGCAGTGTGTGCCTGGGTGCATGGTGGCACAGCAGCGCAGAGAGCAGCAGAAACCGCAGGTCCAGAAATGGCAATAGACGCAGGTGTGGCAACTGCACAGTTCGCATCAGGCGTGGCAGCAATGGTGGCAGCAGGGTTGTTCCCCAAGGTGGCAGCAGGGGTGGCGGGTGGGGGGAGCAGCGGTAGAGAGCGGGAGGTGCCATCTCTACCATGAGTCTTACAGACCGTATCAGCTGACTCGGGTGCTGCTGCTGTGTGAGCAGCACCTGCACCAACCGCCTGCTGCTGACCACCTCCAATCCCAGTCCTCTCCTCACCCACCCCTTGAACGCCCACCCGACGATGCTCTTTGATGTCTGCCTGATCCTTCTTGCCTACCTGGGCGCGTGCAGTTTGAGCTGGCTCCACATTCGCATGTGGATTTTCCTTTTCATCCTCCACCTTGGATTCCAATGCCGCATCACCATTGACATCCTCCACCGCCTCATCCCCCCCTTCCTCGCCCAACACCTCTGCTTTCGACAGCTCTTCCCCCTCTCTCGGTTCTCCCTTCTTTCCACTCCCTGCTTCCAAGCACATGCGCCCACCATGTGCCACTGCTTCGGACACAGGTTCCGTTTTACCTCTCTCACCCCCACTCCCCTGCTCCCCTGCTTCCACACAAGGTGGCGTGGCAAGCTCATCAGCCCCTTCCATTCTTTGCACAGGCATGCCCGCCGCAAGAGATGCAAGGGCAGCAGCGGCCTCTGGAGACGTTGCAGGGGTGCGGGCTAGAGCGGCTAGAGCAGACAAAGCTGCGGCTGATGCCTGTGGGGAGTGAGGGGCGTGGGCTGATGGTGCAGGAATATGCGCTGGCAGAGGTGCTGCTGCTGCTGCTGCTGGGAGTGGCGGAGGTGCTGCTGCTGCTGCTGGGAGTGGCGGAGGTGCTGCTGCTGCTGCTGGGAGTGGCGGTGGTGCTGCTGCTGCTGCTGGGAGTGGCGGTGGTGGTGCTGCTGCTGCTGGGAGTGGCGGTGGTGCTGCTGCTGTTGCTGGGAGTGGCGGTGCTGCTGCTGCTGCTGCTGGGAGTGGCGGTGGTGGTGCTGCTGCTGCTGCTGGGAGTGGCGGTGGTGGTGCTGCTGCAGCTGGGAGTGGCGGTGGTGGTGGTGCTGCTGCTGGGAGTGGCGGTGCTGCTGCGGCAACTGCTGCTGCTGGTGCTGGTGCTGCTACTTTAGGTTCTGCAGCTACAGCTGGCGCGCTGGGTGATGTAAGAGGTTTCGCTGGAGAAGGCATGCCAGATTCTGCTGCTGCTGCTTCTGCTGGTGCCGTTGCCAGTGCTGGTGCTGGTGGCAGCAGCGGTTGAAGCAAGGGTCTGCAGCGGAGCAAGACTGCCTCCAGGATGCGATGGGCTGGAACAGAAACGCACAAGGGGGGATAAAAGGAGGTGGTGGGGTTGAGGGGGAAGGGTCGCGGGGGGGGGGAAGGGGTGGGGGTAGTGAGATGAGATGCAGATGTACATTCACGTCCAGCACGGAAGGAAAACCTGTAACTATGACACTAGCTTCCGTGTTTCTCAACGACACATGCCAGCAGCGAGGGCAAAGAGGACTTACCAGCACTTGCGCCTGCCACTGTGGCTCCACTCAGCAGCTGCTCTTTCCCACTGCCCGCACCACCAGCGGTCTCCTGCTCCCCTCCCATCCCTCGCACCCCGCCCAGCAGCGCCTGCACCAGCGTCTCCCCAGGGAGATCCCTCACCAGCTGCACCACTCGCTCTACCAACCCTTCCTCCGCCTCCCGCTCACACCGCATCTCCTCCTGCTGCATCTGCCTCCCTGTTGACACCGCTGCTGCTGCTGCTGCTGCTTCTGGTACTGCTCTTGCTGGAGTTGTGGATGGCTGTGCAGCAGCAGTCGGCTCAGGCGGAACTCCTCTTGCTGCTGCTGCTGTTGGTGCTGCTGCTGTTGGTGCTGCTGCTGCTGCTGCTGTAGCTGATGCTCCTGGGGCCAGTGGTGCAGCTGGTGCAGGTGGCTCTGGTGTTGCCATGCTGCTTGTGCCCGTGCCCGCCGTGGGGAGCTGCATGCATTCCTGCATGAGGCGAGTGAAGGACATACCTGACGGATGGAAGGAAGGGAGGGAAAGGTTCAGGAGAAAGTAAATAACCTGAGCCAGCAAACCAAGAGAGTGAATTGCATAGAACCAGAGTGCATTGAACTGAAAGCAGGAAAGGAATGCATGCATGCATGCAGCATACGATGTGTTGTGTTGAAGATGGCAGGATACAGCATGGCATGATACAGCATGGCATGATACAGCATGGCATGACACAGCATGGCATGATACAGCATGGCATGACACAGCACGAGCGGCATACCAGGAGGGAGGACGTGGCAAGGCATGCCTGGCGTTGCCTGCATTGTTCGCCCAAACGCAGGGCACCCAAAAGCACCTCTAGATGCAGGCCCAGTACCAAACGAAGGATATTGCTGGACTAGGGGTAGCTTCGGCATCGGCTGCTGCTGCTGCTGCTGCAGGGGTTGCTGCAGCGGTTGTTGCACAAACTCCTGTGGCTCCTGCTTAACCCTCTTCGGCCCAGAATTCTGCGCCTTGCTCCCTCTCCCTCTGGCTGCCTTGCTCCCTGGAGGCCTCATGGCTGCACCAGCCACGGAGCCAGCCCACTGGTCGAGCACTCTACTCACACGGTCGTCCCACCACATGTGCTCCTCCTGCGAAAACACTCTCACCTCCTCCTCCTCCTCCTGATTGCCTGTACCTAACCCACACAAACCCGCCCCCTTGGCCGGAGCTCTCTTCCGCTTCCTCTGCCTGTTGGCTGCAGCACCAGCAGCACCATCAGCACCATCAGCACCAGCAGCACCAGCAGCACCAGCAGCACCAGCAGCACCAGCAGCACCAGAAACACTACGCGCTCCTGCCCCAGCAGCAGCAATAGCAGCGGCACCACCAGCAGTAGCAGCAGAGTTGGGCTTTTGCTTCTTAGATGCACCACCTTTGCCTCGCCTTTCTACTACCAGCCCGCCTCCTGTCCCCTCTACCCCTGCAACCCCTTCCACGGGCTCCAAGTTCACTACCACCTGCTGCTGCCGCACACCAGCACCGCGCTCCTCACCTGCCCCAGAGTATTGTGCCGCCCCCGCCCCAGGCATCAATGCTGCTTCTGGGAATGGTGCTGCAGGGCCTGAGAATGGGGGGATAACCAGGAAGCCTGGAGCTCCTTGGGCCTCTGCTGCTGCTGTTGGCACCAGCGGTATCCCAGGTTCCTGCTTCACAGTTGCCACTGCAAATGGGGGTCCAACAACCATGCAGTGCTCCTGTGCTGCTGCTGTACCTGCTGGTACTGGTGCAAGCATCATGCCCTGCCCTGATTTCTCCACAAGGTCGTCACCCCCCAATCCACCAGCTTTCGCCGCATGCCTTTCCACAATCACGCGTATCCCATGTGCCGCTGCCACTCCATCTTCCTGCTCCTGCTGTGCGCCTGCTACCCCAGCAGCACCACCACTTTCACTTGCTCTCCCACCCTTATCTGTACTGGCATCTGCCTGCTGACAACCACTCACCCCTGCTGCTACTGCTTCCTCTGCTGCATCCGTTCCTGCTGCTACTGCTGCTGCTGCTACGCTGGTGCTAATCCCAAGGATGGACACTGCTGTTCGCCCACACGCTGCCAGGCTAGGAGCATCACACACAGGTTCGGCTTTCACACAGCGTGGAGAAACAGGGGCAGAGGCAGTCTTAGCAGCAGCAGCAGCAGCAGCACTCGAGTGCCCATAACCTCCAGGTTCCACTGCAGATCTCCCCTTCCCCGCCTTCCTACCCTGCGACTTCCCCTTTCTTTTCCCTTTGCCAACCATAAACCCACCAGCAGAAGCAGCAGCACCAGCGGCGCTTGTAAAGCTAGCAGTTGCACCACCCCCAGACATGGTCAGGCTGGCAGCAGCACTTGCAGAGGCGCTGGCAGCAGCAGCGGTGGCGCGGCGGGTGCGCATGGTAGGGAGAACAACAGGAGGCAGCGGGGAAGGGGTGGCAGCAGGCGATGCGCCTAAAGGCTCTATGACCCGTTTGAGCATAGTGGAGCTCGAAGGGTCTGGACAGATGATCTTATCTGGGGGGAGGGGGAGACCCAGCACAGAGATTGGGGCAGGTCGTGTGGGGATGGAATGAGGGGGGATAAATGAGGAATAACGAAGGGGTATGGATGGACCACGGGAGGGAGAGATTGGGGGAGCTTAACGATTGGGGGGGGGACAGAGGCACCACTCACTCACTGCTCTCCTCAGGCCAGGGGCCGTAGCACTCACTCTCTATCCCCTGCGCGCCACTCACTCTCTATCCGCTGCAGCTCAGCCGTGGGTGGCAGCTGGAAGCCAAAGCGGCGAGTCCACATGGCCACCGTGCTCTTGACAGACGGCATGTACAGCACTGGCACCTGGGGGTTGCGGGGGATGGGGGGGAGGAAAGGGAGGCGAGGGAGAGCGGGGTGAGACTTGTCAGAAGCGGGCAAGCATGCATGGCCAACCACGCTCTTGAGCCTTGACTGACGGCAGCACTGGCACCTGGGGACAGAGGGAGAAAGGGACAGAGTGGGGAGAGAGGGGGGACGAGTGAGAGGAGGAAAGATGGGTGCGGGCAAGGGAAGAGGCAGGGGAGGTATTGAGGGGAGAAAGCGGGCAAGTGAGGGAAGTGGGGGGAAGCGGGCCTGACCGTTCCATGCTTCATTGCATCCAAGAATAGCATGTGTGCTATATCCCAAGCTAGCCTCCCTCATACCCTCCCATCCTAATCTCCCCTGTCGCACCTCGTCATCCCCCCTATCCCTCACCCTCAAAAGCCGAAGGATGTCCTCAACCACCTGATGCGCGGAGGAGGGAACGGAGTCAGAAAGGAGAGAGAGAAAAGAGGTGTGTGGGGGGGGGGGAGGGAGGAAGAGAGGGAGAAGGAAGGGGAAGAAGTTAGTGATGGGAAGGGATGTCCATGCACTAAGCGGACATGGAGTGCGGCTGGGAGGTGATCAGATGGATAAGGAGATAGTTACATAAACGGGGGGCGGGCAGTGCAGCATGGTGCCCCATGAAACACAGATGAGAAAAAAGGGCATTGGCCCCCATGGGTGCACGTCCTAGATCCCCCCATGGCTGCACTACACCCAACCCAGCCACATCCACTCACTCGCATGAGTCGCCGGCAGTTGCCATTGCGCCGGTAATCTGCAGCAAGGGTAGACGGGGGGAGGCAGAAGTCAAATGGGGAGTAGATTAGAAATGGCAGTCACATGGAGACACCTGTACTCGGTTGTTGAAATTTGATATTTGATCGGAACACAACCGCATATGTGGTGACGTGAGTTAGAGAAAGACTAAGGGAGAGAAAGAGAGGGGGAAGCACTTAGGGAACGGCCATAGGCAGCATACTTACCCACTCTAGTTGCGACGAACGGCATTTCAGCAAACTTTGCTCCGAACAGCCTGAGATTGACAGGACGCCAAGGGAGGAGGTGGAGGCGAGAAGCAAAGAAGAGATAGAGGAAGGAAGGTGAGGCGAGCCCGGTAAGAGGGAGTCCCAGCCGAACAACAGATAGTGACTTCCAATTCGGGACCTCTAAGAATGCAGTTCAGGAGGACTACCCCAGTACAATAGCCGCAGCAAGCAGCAGCAGCAAGCAGCAAGAAGCAAGCAGCAAGCAGCACTACCTGAACGTGGCTGCAGTGATGGGGACTGCCCCCTTGCGCAGAATGACCACTCGGAAATTGCCTGAGCACACGGAACCAGGCATGAGAGGGTCGACGAACAGGAGAAAGAGAACAAGGGGCAGTTATAACTCGGAGCAAGATAGGAGTGGATACAGCGTGGAGGAATTGTGTGAGTTGAAGGAAATAAGAGAGGTGTAGCAGCAGAGCTCAGGACGACAAGCCACATAGAGCCAGTCGGAAGAGATGGGATGAGCTCGTGCCAACAGCGGCTCGGTGGAGGGAACCAGCAAGCTTGCCAGCGGGGGAAACAGAAAGTAAAAGGTGAGGGACTGGCGACATTGCTCTAGTACCTCTGGGAGCTTGCGAGCTTGCTCTAGGTGCTTGCAAGCATGCCCGAGGGATGCCTAGGTGCCTCAGGCGGCATGCCTGGCGCAGCATCCCTCGGGCGGCATGCCTGGGGTGGCATGCCTCAGGGCGGCACCCCTCGGGCGGCATCCCTCGGGCGGCATCCCTCGGGCGGCATGCTTTGGGCGGCATGCCTCGGGCGTCATCCCTCGGGCGGCATGCCTCGGGCCGCATCCCTCCGGCGGCATCCCTCCGGCGGCATCCCTCCGGCGGCATGCTTCGGGCGGCATGCTTCGGGGGGCATGCTTCGGGCGGCATGGTTCGGGCGACATCCCTCGGGCGGTATGCCTAGAGCGGCATGCCTCGGGCGGCATCCCTCGGGCGGAATCCCTCGGGCGGCATCCCTAGGGTGGCATGCCTCGGTGACTCGTGCGGCATGCCTCGGGCTGCATGCTCTGGGCGGCATGCCTTGGGCGGCATGCCTGGGGCGGCAACCCTCAGGCGGCATCCGGTGGGCGGCATCCCTCAGGCGGCATCCCTCGGCGGCATGCCTCGGGCGGCATCCCTCGTGCGGCATGCCTCGGGCGGCATCCCTCGGGCGGCATCCCTCGGCCACCATCCCTCGGGCGGCATGCTTCGGGCGGCATCCCTTGGACGGCATCCCTCGAGCGGCATGCCTCGGGCCGCATCCCTCGGGCGGCATCCGTCGGGCGGCATACTTCGGGCGGCATGCTTCGGGGGGCATGCCTCGGGCGGCATGCCTCGGGCGGCATCCCTCGGACGGTATGCCTAGAGCGGCATGCCTCGGGCGGCATCCCTCGGGCGGCATCCCTCGGGCGGTATGCCTCGGGCGGCATCCCTCGGGCGGCATGCCTCGGGCGGCATGCCTCCGGCGGCATCCCTCGGGCGGCATCCCTAGGGCGGCATGCCTCGGGTGCCTCGTGCGGCATGCCTCGGGCCGCATGCTCCGGGCGGCATGCTTTGGGCGGCAACCCTCAGGCAGCATCCCTTGGGCGGCATCCCTAGGGCGGCATCCTTGGGCGCCATGCCTTGGGCGCCATCCCTCGTGCGGCATGCCTCGGGCGGCATCCCTCGGGCGGCATCCCTCGGGCGGCATCCCTCGGGAAGCATCCCTCAGGCAGCATCCCTCGGGAAGCATCCCTCAGGCGGCATCCCTCGGGCGGCATGCCTCGGGCCGTATGCCTTGGTGGCATCCCACGGGCGGCATCCCTCGGGCGGCATCCCTCGGGCGGCTTCCCTCGGGCGGCATCCCTCGGGTGGCATCCCTCGGGCGGCATGCCTCGGGCGGCATCCCTCGGGCGGGATGCCATGGGCGGCATGCCTTGGGCGGAATCCCTCAGGCGGCATCCAACGGGCGGCATGCTTTGGGCCGCATCCCTCCGGCGGCATCCCTCGGGCGGCATCCTGAATGCGGCATACCTCGGGCGGCATCCCTCAGGCGGCATCCCTCTGGCGGCATCCATTGGGCGGCATGCTTCGGGCCGCATCCCTCGGGCAGCATCCCTCGGGCGGCATGCCTCAGGCAGCATGCCTCGGTTGGCATGCCTCGGGTGGCATGCCAGGGCGGCATCCCTCGGGCGGCATCCGTCGGGTGGCATGCCTCGAGCGGCATGCCTCGGGCGGCATCACTCGGGCGGCATGCCTCGGGCGGCATCCCTTGGGCGGCATGCCTCTGGCGGCATGCCTAGGGTGGCATGCCTTGGGCGGCATGCCTCGGGCGGCATCCCTCGGGCGGCGTCCCTCGGGCGGCATCCCTCCGGCGGCATCCCTCGAGCGGCATCCCTTGGGCGGCATGCCTTGGGCGGCATCCCTCGGGCGGCATCCCCCGGGCGGCATGCCTCGGGCGGCATGCCTCGGGCGGCATGCCTCGGGCGGCATGCCTCGGGCGGCATGCCTCGGGCGGCATGCCTCGGGCGGCATGCCTCGGGCGGCATGCCTCGGGCGGCATCCCTCGGGCGGCATCCCTCGGGCGGCATCCAACGGGCGGCATGCTTCGGGCCGCATCCCTCCGGCGGCATCCCTCGGGCGGCATCCTGCATGCGGCATACCTCGGGCGGCATCCCTCAGGCGGCATCCCTCTGGCGGCATCCATCGGGCGGCATGCTTCGGGCCGCATCCCTCGAGCGGCATCCCTCGGCATCATCCCTCGGGCGACATCCCTCGTGCGGCATCCCTCGGGCGGCATCCCTCGGGCAGCATCCCTCGGGCGGTATCTCTCGGGCGGCATGCCTGGGACGGCATCCTTCGGGCGGCATGCCGTGGACGGCATGCCTCGGGCGGCATCCCTCGGGCAGCATCCCTTGGGCAGCATCTCTCGGGCGGCATCCCGCAGGCGACATACCTCGGGCGGTATCCCTTGGGCGGCATCCCTTGGGCGGCATCCCTCGGGCGGCATGCCTCGGGCGGCATGCCTCGGGCGGCATGCCTCGGGCGGCATGCCTCGGGCGGCATGCCTCGGGCGGCATGCCTCGGGCGGCATGCCTTGGGCGGCATGCCTCGGGCGGCATGCCTCGGGCGGCATGCCTCGGGCGGCGTCCCTCGGGCGGCATCCCTCGGGCGGCATCCCTCTGGCGGCATGCCTCGGGCGTCATCCCTCAAGCGGCATCCCTCGGGCGGCATCCCTCGGGCAGCATCCCTCGGAAGGCATCCCTCGGGCAGCATCCTTCGGGCGGCATGCCTCGGGTGGCATCCTTCTGGCGGCATGCCTCGGGCGGCATCCCTCGGGCGGCATGCCTCGGGCGGCATCCCTCGGGCGGCATCCCTCGGGCGGCATCCCTCGGGCGGCATCCCTCGGGCAGCATCCCTCGGGCGGCATCCCTTGGGCCGCATTCCTCGAGTGGCGTGCCTTGGGCGGCATCCCTGGGGCGGCATCCCTGGGGCGGCATCCCTCGGGCGGCATCCCTCGGGCGGCATCCCTCGGGTGGCATCCCTCGGGCAGCATCCATCGGGCGGCATCCCTTGGGCGGCATGCCTCGGGCGGCATCCCTCGGGCGGCATCCCTCGGGCGGCATGCCTTGGGCAGCATCCCTCGGGCAGCATCCCTCGGGCAGCATCCCTCGGGCCGCATCCCTCGGGCCACATCCCTTGGGTGGCGTGCCTTGGGCGGCATCCCTCGGGCCGCATCCCTAGGGCGGTATCCCTCGGGTGGCATCCCTCGGGCGGCATCCCTCGGGTGGCATCCCTCGGGCGACATGTCTCGGGCGACATGTCTCAGGCGGCATTCCTCAGGTGGTATTCCTCGGACGGCATGCCTCGGGTGGGATCCCTCAGCGGCATTCCTCGGGCAGCATGCCTTCATTGGACGGCATCCCTCGAGCGGCATCCCTCGTGCAGCATCCCAGGGGCAGCATGCCTGGGGCGGCATCCCTCGGGTGGCATCCCTTGGCCGGCATGCCAGGGGCGCCATAGCTCGGCGGTGAGCTTGCTCTAGGTGCTGCCGAGCTCGCTCTAGTACCTCTAGGTGAGAAGTGGTGAGGTGCGAGACACGAGTCAAGTAGGGATAAGAGAGACGAGGGTGTGAAGGAGAACGTACTGAAGTCGTAGCCTTCATCCCTGTAGGAGCACGCAAAGGGAACAAAGAAAAAGGGGCCAGAGAATACGTGTGTGTGAGACAGGAAGATTACAGAAACGAAATTGCCTAGCAGGATAGGTCTAGATGAGAAATTGCGGGGAAAGGGCGGTTGGTGGGCTGAGGTTGGCGAGGAGGAGAGTTGAATTCAGAGACAGTACACATGCAAGGGATGAAAAACTACACCAGGTGACACTAATCTCGACCATCCCGTTCTGCCCTGCCATTCCCATGCTCCACCTCCTCCTGCCCCTCATCCCCACCCCAGTGTGCCCTTCGCCTCTCCCACAACTCTTTTCTGACTCTCCAACACGCGCCACTCCCTTCCCAAAATGCCAATCCAGCCCCCCAACTTGTCCTCCTACCACTGTCCTGCAACAGCCATGCACCCACCCGACGCCTGCCTTCCCCCCACCCCACCCACTAGGGGCCGCACGGCACGGCACGGCACTGACCCGTCGGACTCGAGCGACTTGGTGATGCTCTCGATGAGCTCCGACCCGTCGTCCATCACCAGCGGGTCAAACGACGCCTGTAGGATCTGCGGAGACACGCGGAGAGGAACAGAGGGAGCGGGGGGGGGGAGGGAGGAGGGGGAAGGTTGGGGGTTTGGCTGTTTGGCAGGAAAACGAGGTTTTGGATGCGGTGCAATTACCGGACGTTGGAAAAGGAAAGAAGGGGGACTGTGGCAATGCGAAAACGTTGACTTCGGCAAACAAGGACAGAGGCGAGGCGAGGGAGGCGAGGGAGGAGAGGGAAGAGAGAAGGGCAGGGAAGGGTGAGCAGTACCTTGAGTGCTGCTGCTATGGACTGTCGGGAGCCTGGTCAAGTTGGGAAGGGCGGACAGGGAAAGCGGGGCCAAGAACGGGAAAAAGGGCTTAGAAGGGCGAAAACCCGGGGCCGAGAAGAGGGGAGAAGAGCGAGAAACTGAGAAATGACTGAAGGCTTAACTCAAGCAGACAGCACAACCAGGACCTGACACCTGCTTCCCCCTTGCCCTCCCTAGCTTCCCTAATTCTCGCCCCTATCCCCGAACTCAACCTCCACCCCTGCCCCTGCCCCGTTCTCCTCATCCCCAGCAGTCCTCGCCCATGTGTGTGTGCGTCACCTCGGTCGTTCTCGTTGTATCGGGCGAGCTCGATGGAGAAGGGCTGGTCATCAGGTATCTCCACTCTCTTGCCCTCCATGCCTTTCAACTCCCCTGCCACCTGCGGAGAGCCACGAGAGCAGGGCAGCAGAGGGAGTGGAGGAGGCGGAAGGGAAGGGAGGAGGAATAGAGGAGAGATAAGCCTGAGGCAGCGTTCGGGGGTGACTCCACTCTCTTGCCTTCCCTGCCCTTCGGCTCCCCTCCCACCTGCACGGCATGGGCCATGGGAGCAGGACCGCTCAGGGGATGGAGGAGGACAAGGCCATGACCGGAGGGGGCAGGCCGGAGGCAGCGTTGAGATGTGGGTGGGTGGGTGGGACGCAGTAAGAATGCCGCAAACGGCAAGATTTGGACAGGATGCAGCGCGCGCGTGCTGTACTACACAAGGCCGGCCATGGCATGACTGCTATGGGCGAGCGGGTGCTCAGCAGGAGGTGCGCCGTCTGCGGGCCAATTGGTTGGATTCGGGGGGTGAGGGTTTGTCGTGAGCCCTGGCATGGGGGCTCCGCCAGGCTGGTGCTCAGAATCCGTCTCTAAAGCTGCTGCATACCTTGGCGCAGGAGCGCGAGCAGTACCAGTCGACGTCGCTGTCGAGCACAGAGGCTTCCACCTTCACGCCCTGCACCTCCTCCGCACAGCTGATGCACACGAGGGGGATATGGGGGATGGGTGGATGCATAAGGGTGAGGGTGTACGGGGCATGATGGGAAACGAGGGGATGTGGAGAGCGATGGGAGGAGACGCGAGGGAGGATGGGGGTGCGGGGAGGAGGAGGGAGACAGGGGAACGAATGACGGCACCAGGGATTGGGCGAGATGGTCTGACAGGAGCATTGTGGGAGGAGGATCACAGACCGGGAAAGCTGATGCGACTACTACTATAGATTTAGTGTGCCTACGCAGGGGGAAGAGCGGACACAGGGGGGGTTCAGAGCGGACGAAGACTGATGGGGAGTTACCTCACATGCCACTCTTCGCAGCAGCACGAACAGATGAGTATGCACCTGAAAGGTGGGTCTCACACATGCGAGCGCACGCACCCAAAACATACACACACGCACACAGGCATCCAGGGAAAGAGGTGGTAGACAGGGGAGGAGGGGCAAGAGCGAGGGAAGTCATGTGCTGAATGGAGTTGAAAGCAGAGAAACCGACCAGAAAACCGTTTCCTCACGTCCCTGTGGAGCCCAGAAGTGGCAGCGCAGTGCGGGCAAACGAAAGCGTGTACCTTGGGCCAAAGGCTCGAGTGTAGTCGTGCACGCGGCAGTGCACGCAGAATCCCTCCTCGTCATGTATCTCCTGCGACAGACGCACCGCCTGCTCTGCGCTTGATCCGTCGCCCTGCTTCTGCTGCTGCTTCAGCTGCTGCTGTAATTTAGTAAAGCAGGGGGCAGGGGAGGCACGAGGACAACCCAAGCTCAGCACAACAGGCCAAGCAGAGACTGAGACTAGCCAGGAACATCACGGGCTGAATGTGTTCCAAGCTTTGGCAGCCAAAGTGAGCAAGCTGTGCAGGGAGCTGGGAGACCAGACCAGGCTCCCAGGCCATGACCACTTACAGCAGCTGAGCCGTCACCAGCTAGCCCTCCCCCAGAGCCCGCAGCTGTCTTTCCCTTAGTCTTGCTGTAGATCTCCTGAGCCTCCTCCAGCGCCGCCTTGAAATCCTTGAGCTTTTTCTGCGCCGAGGAGAGAGGGAGAGAGGGAGATGGACCAAGGGCGCGAGTGAGCAGGCATGCGTGCAGCACGTGCTTCGCGTCTGCAGAAGGTTCCCTCGGCTCTCAGACACGGCGCATCTTATACTCAAAAGCGCAGGACGGTAGAAGCAGTGAGTCGCCGTTAGGCTCTCGCCTCCGCGCGCACATCAGGCTCGTCGGTAAGCGTGTATACCTTGAAGTGCGGCCGTCTGCATCTCACGGCGTGGCGTCTATACGCGTAACGGCATGGCGTCCGTACGCGTAACGGCGTGGCGTGCGTACCTTGGGGCATCGCGTCTGCTGGCTGAACTTGGCGGTGTTGGCGTGCGTCCACATGAACACGGCGCTCGGACTCACCCACGCCGTCATCGCGCACTGCCACGCCGCAGTGACGCCGTGGAAAGAGGGACGGGAGAGAGAGCGGAGAGGGAGGAGAGGGAGGAGAGAGCGGAGAGGGAGGAGAGGGAGGAGAGGGAGGAGAGGGAGGAGAGGGAGGAGAGGGAGGAGAGGGAGGAGAGGGAGGAGAGAGGAAGTACTGAAGCTAGTGGACTTCAGCTAAGGAAGTCCACTAGTGGAGCCCCCACTAAGATCCTATCGTCAACACGGATCGGATCGTTTTCTGCGTGGCACACAGCACTGGGATCTTCAACAACTACTCTGCAACGAACCGCCGCGTTGACCGTCGCGGCGATTCGCGAAGCCTTCGCAGCGTCGTACCTCGCCTCCCAGGAGTCGCACGAGCACGTGGTCGTCGTCTCGTCGCCGCCGTCGCTCGCCCGCGGGCAGATCGTCGGGCGACACGATCTGCGACGGCCAGACGGCGCCCATCCCGCGGTACTTCACCCATACGACCTCGCCTACGCCCAGCATCGCCGCTGCGACGCGATAGATCCAGGCCGCGGTTCAGGTTTCGAATTCCGATCTCGATAGTACGGGTCTCTACTCACGCCTCGACTAGCAACCCGATATATAACTAGCAGCAGTAGCGTCACGTCGACATTAGGATGCGGGAAGGTTGGCAGTGGAGGAGGCCCATTGGCAGAGAACTTCACTAGGCAGAAAGGCTCTCGAGAAACTATGCGTGAGTAAGGGACAGTCACTGTGGCTCCGAGGCAAAGTCCCCGCGAGGCATTGCCAACTGGCACCCGCCTGAGACCCATCACGAGAATCTGATATTTTGGAAACTCGGAGTGAGCTTTCGAGGGTGGTCCCTGGAATGAGTGAATCCCTAGGAATCTGGTGGAACCTAGGGACAAGAATTGACATTGATTTGCTATTCCCTACGTAGTAGGTATGATGGAATTTCCTCCCAGGAAGCCATAGAAAGTGCCGCAGCGGCTTGGGAACTTCGCTGGAGTTCGCTGACAGGAGGCAACTCTGACAAAAGAAATCCCTGTAAAACCTCGGCATAAGGCTCCTCGAAACAAAATAGAGATGATAAAAAACAGCCTCCATAACATGAATGCACTCATGCAATACACGAGAAAGTATATGCTTAGCTTGAGTGAAGGGCGAAAACATGGGGTGAGCAATGCAACCTCTAAGGCAGTGAAGAAAAACTAAAGGAAATGATTTTCCCAACATATTCAAGGCTTCTCCTGCGTATTGCCTTGGCGTTGCAATGGCGGCCTTGGCACAACCCATATAGATTTATCTAGTGTTGGAAAAATTTATCAGAGTAACGAATTGACTAGAACGAGTGATACAGTGTGGTTTTGTGCTGAGGGGTTGTACTCTCTAAGAGTACGCACCTATCTAGCCTACAATAACATATACATATATGTTTGACACCAGTGTTGAAACTAGGAACTAGGTATGAGGGATGCCATGAAACTAGCGAGACGTTTTAAATCTAGGAGCTAGGAAAATTGAGGAGAGAAAAGAGAACTAGCAAAGAATAGAGGGGGATACAAAGCGGCATGTTGTTGTTAAAGTAAGAACTGAATAAATCAACTAGAAGGAGAAACCTAGAATAAATACTAGTTGGTTGTACTCACTAGAAGCATACCCCAGTCTAGCCTATAACTTCTACATACCTAATATATATAAGTTGACACACCCCCTAGGCTAGACAAGAGGTGAAGCTAAGCAAGAAGCAAACAGCTCAGGGTGGCACTACTAGTCCAACCACTGAGGCAGGGGTCTGGAGACCAGTCAGCAAGAGTACAAACAAGACTAAAGCAAGCTAGGGCGGCACTACTAGTCCAGCCACTGGAGGTAAGGCCACAAGGCCAGTCTGACAGGTATATATAATAGAGAGTACACAATCAGGATCCTAACAGGTGAGTAGCTACAGGAACAAGACCAAGCTGTACACAGTGCCGCTGATGATCTTTAGGCGCAAGCGCCTTAGTAAAGATATCAGCTGTGTTGGCACCTGAGGCCAAGTGAAGATCTGGTCGAGTCCAAGTCATCAGGTACATGAGGCAACCCACCAGCTCTGCGTAGGGGCCACTGGGCTCTACTCGCTCCTCAGGAATGGGAGCGGAGAGCCCATGGTCTACAGGTAGAGGTGTGGGCTGTGCGGAGGAGAAATGAAGACCGAACCTCTGAAGGACCTGACGCACCAAGTGTGACAGTGTCAGAGTGATGGTGCGTGCTGCTCTCTCCCTAGAGATCTGTAGGCCAAGATAGCGACGCAGCTCTCCAAGGTCAGTGCAGGTGTGTCTCTTCAGCAGCTCGGCCTTCACAGAGGCCAGTGCGTCCCTGTCAGCAGTAGCGAAGACCAGATTGTCTACGTAGACAAGGATGTAGAACGGAGTCTGGCCCGAACGCACAAACAGCGAGGGGTCAGCAGAGGACGGAAAGAACTGCAGGTCTGCTAACGTGGCCCGCAGCGTGTCGTGCCACTCGCGAGGAGCCTGACGCAGGCCGTAGACCGGGCGCCTGAGAAGCCACTGGGTCCCAGGGGGGAATGTACCAGTGAAGCCCTGTGGTCGGCGCAGGTAGACCTACTCGTGTAGGCTGCCCTGAAGAAAGGCAGTAGAGAAGTCGAGGGAGTGAAGCTCGTAGTCGCGCAGTGCTGCTACGTGTAGCAGCGCCCGAAGAGTGGTCATCTTCGGGTTCGGGGCGAAGGTCTGGAAGAAGTGAACCCCCTCTCGCTGACTGAAACCTCTGGCCACGAAGTGCGCCCTGAAGACAGCCGGCTCTCCAGGGGGGCGCTTCACCTTGAAGAGCCACCGACCATCGACTACGTTCACCCCAGGCGCGTGATCTGCGTCGACGTAAGTGCCGGTGGACCTCCAAGATGCCATCTCCTACTCCATGGCAGCTATCCACTGAGAGGCCCAAGGTCCCGAGGTGGCCTCAGCTTAGGTGCGAGGGGTCGGGATGTCGAAGGCGTCTGGGTCACCCTCAGGGACTAACTGCATGGAGCAGAGATGGGGAGCAGCCTCGGAAAGGAAAGCAAGCTCCTACGGCCTGTCCTCTAGGACGTCACTGCCAAGGGCAGGAGCACCCCCGACGGACAGAGGATGGGCAGGGTCAGAGACCAAAGCGGTAGCGTAGTCAAGGCGGGGGGTAGAGGCGAAGTCAGCGACAGCAGCGACAAGCGCGTCAAGGCGCGAGACAGGAACAGAAGGGTCGGTAACAAGAAAGGCAAGGACCCGAGGGACAAGGGGACGAGCGGTACGGAGGTAGTCAGAGAACGGAGGAGGTGCAACAGCAAGGGATGAGGGAGGAGGGGACGGAAGGAGGGGAGGACGAGACGAGCGGGAACGGAGCAATATAGGGTGGGAGCGCAGGACAGGAGAGACGGGACGAGCACGGGAGGGACGGCGAGACCAAATGTGGAACGGAGGTGTAGGGTCAAGGGACAGCGGAGGGGACACGGGAGGGGAACGAGGAGGAAGACGGGCCGGAGACGAGTCTGGCGGCGGGAACACAGGACCGTAGACAGGAAGGTCAGCAGGCGGTGGGGGAGACACCGGCGAGCAGTCCGGGGAGGGAAGGCCGAGCAGGCGGAGAGCGGAGACCGGCGGCGACAGCTGCTGCGGCTGCTGCGACGGCTGGGCCGGAACCCTCGGACCGGCAGAGGCAGGACGACCGTCGGCGGAACCCTCAACAGTAGCACCCCCAGAACCAACACCCCTAGAGCGAGAACCCCCTCCAACACAGGCGGCACCCCCAAGAGCCGTAGGACTAACACCCTCCTCCACATCAGCAACCCCAGGGGCCAAGAGCGGCGGCAACGGCAGCGGCGGCGGCAGCAGCGGCGACGGCAGCGGCGGCGACGGCGGCGGCGGCTGCGGCGGAGTCGGCGACTGCGACAGTGGGGGTGGAGACACCGGGGGAGGGCGACGCGGCAAGGACGGGCCGGGGGAACCACCAGAGTCAGCAGACTCCTTAACGGGGACAACCGACGGGAGGGGAGTGACGTGAAAGACACCAGACGGGGCAGGGCGAGGCAGGAGAGGAGCAGGGGCTACCGGGGGAGAGGGAGCCAGGAACAGGGGCGGGGCAACCGGGAGACCGCGGTGAGGGAAACGGCGGTAGAAGGAGACAGACTCGTCAAAGGTGACGTCACGAGAGTGGAGGAAGCGGTGAGACGGCGGGTGGTAGAAAAGCCAGTCAGACGAGTCCAGTGGGAAACCGAGGAAGACACAGGGGACAGTGCGGGCAGTAAGCTTGTCCGTGCCAGGGGCACGAGCGTGAGCAAGGCAGCCCCAGACGTGGAACGCAGACGCGTCACCCGGGGACCCGGTCCAAAGGAGGGTCGGCGAAACCTGCGGCCGCTGGGAGCGTGGCCACAAGTTAAGCTGGTGAGCAGTGTAGCGAACAGCGAACGGCCACAGAAATTGGGGGGCATCGGCATGAATCATGGAGGTACGAGCAACCTCCATGACCAAGCCGATGCGGCGCTCAGCAACCCCATTCTGCTGTGGCGAGTCCGGCAAGGTGTACGACTGGGTGATGCCCTCCGCACGACAGAACTGTCCAAGCCGACCAGAGGCGAACTCGCCGCCACGGTCAGAGTGGAGACACAACATGGGGAGACCGCGGTGAAGACGTGCAGCCACAACCCACGGGAGAAGAACGTCGGGCACGTCGGCCTTCCGCTCCAGGGGAAACACCGTTGTGTAGTGCGTGTAGTCGTCGACGAGCACAAGGAAGTATCACTCACCACGCGGTCCGGGGACGGGGGCAGTGCCCCAGACGTCCAGGTGCAGGGTCTGAAGGGGGGCAGTAGCAGGGCGCAGCGAGGAGGAGTGAGGAGCACGGCGGAGCCGGCCCTCGACGCAAGGCGTGTACGGTGGCGTAGTCGAGGGAGGAAGGGCAGGGAGCAACGCGGGGAGAACTAAGACAAGACTGTGCTGGGACATGTGACGCAGACGTGGGAGAGCAGGGTGACCTAGGAGGTGGTGCCAGAGAAGGGACGGGTGAGTGAGGGACCGACACGAGCAAGCTGCAGCGACCTGGGAGGACGCACCAACCGGGGGGGAAGCGGTGTCGAGGGTAAACTGACCGGACACCGGGTCCCGGGGGAACGTAGCAAGGCGGGAACTTGACTCAGCCTCAGAATAGACAGCGAACAGCTCGTGCCCGGGGAACATGGTGGTGACGGCGAGGTCCTGGAGACAGCCGACACACACCAGGTTCCCCGAGAACGAGGGAACGTGGAGGCCTGTAAGGGAGCCCGAGGGAACTGCTGGACAGGGATGGGACGTAGAACTGGGAACGACGACATGACCCGCAGAGGGGTCAGCGAGAGAGACAACAGCAGGCGTAGCAAGCGGCGTGAGCGCGGAACGGTCGCGAAAGAAGCAAGTAGAAGCAGCGGAGTCAAGAGTGAAGGACAGCGAAGCAGTGGCGGAGGCCGGGAACGGAGCCGGTGCAGAGACTAGGCTAGGCAAACTAGGCAGTCCTACACCTGACGCAACAATGGAGGCTAAGCTACACAATGGTGCAACACCTAAACTAGAGTACACAGGGTAATAAGACCCAGCAACACTAGAAGCATCAGAATACAAGGCATGCAAAGCAGCACCTATCTGATCCATGTCTAACTCAAAGATCGGCACGCCTTGGCGGAGCAGGCTGTACCAGTCAGGGAGGTGCGGGGCAGGGCCAAAGCGACGACGAAAGAGATCGTCGAGGCGGCGGAAACAGCGGGCGGTCGGGTGCTGATGGCGGCACAGAGTGCCGCGAAGAGGCCCGGTCTGAAGCTGGTACTGGCAAGTGACAGCACCGGAGCCGCCGGTAGACACCGAGCTGCGCGGGCCGCCACCACGGCCACTAACTCCGGAGGTGCCGGGCCAGCCAGGCGAGAGACGGGCCCACGGCTGC